TTCTTCCACATGTGGCTGTCCAATTTTCCCAACACCATTTCTTGAAGAGCCTGTCTTTTTTCCACTGGACATTCTTTCCTGCTTTGTCAAAGATCAGTTGACCATAGAGTTGAAGGTCCATTTCTGGGCTCTCTCTTCTGTTCCATTGATCTATGTGTCTGTTTTTGTGCCAGTACCATACTGTTTTGATGATTACAGCTTTGTAATAGAGCTTGAAGTCTGGAATTGGTGATGTCACCAACTTTGGTTTCCTTCAGACCTTGCTTCAATTTCCTTGCTGGTTATGGGTCTGTTCAGGTTCTCTATTTCTTCCTGGTTCAGTTTTGGTAGTTTATATGCCTCTAGGAATGCATCCATTTCTTCCAGATTGTCAAATTTGCTGGCATTTAGTTGTTCATAATATGTTCTTATACTTGTTTGCATTTCTGTGGTGTTGGTTGTGATCTCTGCTCTTTCATGCATGATTTTATTAATTGAGTCCTTTTTCTTCTTTTTGATAAGTCTGGCCAAGGGGTTTTCAGTCTTATTAATTCTTTCAAAGAACCAGCTCCTACTTTTGTTGAGTTGTTACACTCTTCTTTTGGTTTCTATTTCCTTGATTTCTGCTCTGATCTTTGTTCTAATTTCTCTTTTCCTGCTGGATTTAGGCTTTCTTTACTCATCTTTCTCTAGCTCCGTTAGGTTTAGGGTTAGGTTGTGTACTTGAGACCGTTCTTGTTTCTTGAGAAAGGCTCATATTGGTATATACTTTCCTCTAATACCACCTTTGCTGTGTCCCAAAGATCTTTAACAGTTGTGTTTTCATTTTCATTTGTTTCCTTGAATTTTTTAAATTCTTCTTTGATTTCCTGGTCGACCCATTCACTCTTTAGTAGGATGCTCCTTAGCCTCCATTTATTTGAGTTCTTTCCAACTTGCCACTCGTGATTGAGTTCTAGTTTCAGAGCATTATGGTCTGAAAATACGCAGGGAATGATCCTAAGCTGTTGGTACCAGTTGAGAGCTGATTTGTGACCCAGGATGTGATCTGTTCTGGAAAATGTTCCATGTGCAGTAGAGAAGAATGTATATTCTGTTGCTCTGGGATGGAATGTTCTGAATATATGTGTGATGTCCCTCTGGTCCAGTGTGTCATTTAAAGCCTTTATTTCCTTGTTGATCTTTTGCTTAGACAATCTGTTTCAGTGAGAGAGGTGTTAAAGTCCCTTACTATTATTTTATTATTGTCGATGTGTTTCTTTGCTTTTGTTATTAATTGGTTTATATGATTGGCTGCTCCCATGTTCAGGGCATAGATATTTAAAATTTTTAGATCATCTTGTTGGACAGACCCTTTAAGTATGATATAGTGTCCTTCCTCATTTCTTAATATAGTCTTTGGCTTAAAATCTAATTTATCTGATATAAGGATTGCCACTCTTTGTTTTTAGCATGGTAAATTGTTCTCCACCCCCTCACTTTAAATCTGGAAGTGTCTTCGGGTTTAAAATGAGTTTCTTGTAGACAGCATATCAATGGGTCTTAATTTTTTTTAACCATTCTGAGACCCTGTGTCTTTTGATTGGGACCTTTAGCCCATTTACATTAATTTACATTCTTTATTATTGAAAGATACAAATTTAGTGCCATTGTATGGCCTGTAAGGTGACTGTTACTGTATATTGTCTCTGTTCCCTTCTGTTCTATGTTACTTTTAGGCTCTCTCTTTCCTTAGAGGATCCCTTTCAATATTTCCTGTAGGGCTGGTTTGGTGTTTGCAAATTCATTTAGTTTTTGTCTTGGGAGCTTTTTATCTCTCCTTCTATTTTCAGTGATAGCCTAGCTGGATATAGTATTCTTGGCTACGTGTTTTTCTCGTTTAGTGCTCTGACTATATCATGCTAACTCTTTCTGGCCTGCCAGGTCTCTGTGGATAGGTCTGCTGCCAATCTAATACTTCTACCATTATATGTTACAAACCTCTTATCCTGAGCTGCCTTCAGGATTTTCTCTTTGTCACTGGGACTTGTAAGTTTTACTCTTAGATGACGGGGTGTGGACCTGTTTTTATTGATTTTAAGGAGTATTCTCTGTGCCTCCTGGATTTGGATTCTTGTTCCCTTCGCTGTGTTAGGGAAATTCTCTACTATAATTTGCTCCAATATACCTTCTTCTCCTCTTTCTTTTTCTTGTGGGATCCCAATTACTCTAATACTGTTTCATCTTACGGTATCAGTTATTTCTTGAATTCTCCCCTTGTGGTCAAGTAGTTGTTTGTCTCTTTCTCAGCTTCTTCATTCTCTGTCATTTGGTCTTCTATATCACTAATTCTGTCTTCTGCCTCATTTATCCTAGAAGTAAGAGTCTCTATTTTTTTTTAAGACATTTTTGTTTATTTATTTGACAGAGACAGAGAGGGAACGCAAGTAGAAGATAAGGCAAAGGAAGAAGCAGGCCTCCCTCCGAGCAGGGAGTCTGACGCGGGGCTTAAGAGCCCAGAGGCTTTAATCCACTGAGACACCCAGGCACCCACTTCTGCAATTCTTTTTTTTTTTTTTTTTTAAGATTTTATTTATTTATTTGACAGAGAGAGATCACAAGCAGGCAGAGGCAGGTAGAGAGAGGCGGGGAAGCAGGCTCCCTGCTGAGCAGAGAGCCCGATGTGGGGCTCGATCCCAGGACTCTGGGATCATGACCTGAGCCGAAGGCAGAAGCTTTAACCCTCTGATCCTCCCAGGTGCCCCCAGTTCCTCAATTCTTGATCGGTGAACTTGATCTTGGCTGGATATCCTTGCTGATCTTCTGGGGGCAGGGCCTGTTGCCGTGATTCTCAAATGTCTTTGCCTGAGACAGAATGGCACTTCCCTTGCCAGGGGCCTGGCTAAGTAATCTGCTCGGGTTCACTCTCGGTAGCCTTTGTTCTCTGAACACTTTCCATACCACTTTGGAGGACGGGAGTGAAGGTGGCGGCCTCCAAATCTCCAGCCCGTAGTTGCTGAGAGCTCGGAGCCCCACTCCTCAGTGCGCCCTCAGAGAAAAGCAATCAGTCCCTCCCATCTCCCTAGTCTCTGGCCACACTCTGCGTTCACCTGGCCCATGACTGAGCATTTCTATCTCGAGCATTTCTATCTCCAAACAGGGTCTTTGGAGCCTCCAAACCCAGCAGATTCCTGCTACACACTCCTGCGCCACTCCTCCCAGAGGAAGAAGGAGGGTGTCTTCCCAGATCTACCACTTGTGGGGTCCCTGCTCGAAGAGTAGTGGTCCGACTGTGCGTTGGATCACAGTTTAAAGGAAGCCCAACTGAGAGCTCACTGCTCAGCTTCGTCTCTGCAGCCGGCTTCCCAGCTCTGATCCCCAGCTCTGATCCCCGGTAGCTCTGCCATCCTCAGACACCCCTGGTCTTTCTGCAACCCTGCAGATCCTGAGACCACACTGTCCCCGCAAGGGCTCCACCCCTGCTTAGCCTCTGGAGTGATGTCCCTCGGTGGAGCAGACTTCTGAAAGTTCAGATTTTGTGTTCCGCTGCTCTCTCACTTGCTGGGAGCTGACTCCTCCCCCCGCGGTCTATTTCCCCATCGCTTTGGATTCACTTTTCTGCACGTCCTGCTTCCCAGAAAGTGGTCGATTTTCTGTTCCTAGAATTGTGGCTCCTCTTCTCTTCTATCTACTGTTGAGTTTGTAGGTGTTCAGAATTGTTTGATAACTATCGAGCTGAACTGGGACCTGATGATATTTCAGTCTCCTGCTCCTCCACCATCTTGCTTCCTCTCCTTCCAGGGCCTTTTTCTTAACACAGGGACACTTTTATAATCCTTCCTGGGTAATTGCATAAACTTGACAGCTGCATTACCTTTAGTTGCTTAAACTTCTGTCTTACTACTTTCTGTCCTTATTTGGAAAGAGTTGATAAGGGACAGGTATCAGTAATATGTAGGTGTCATTGAGAAGTGTGTATTATGTTCCAAGGACTTGGCTAAATGCTTTTCCATGGATTAGCCCGATTGATGCTGGTATTACGTGATGTGATAGGCACCACTCTTACCTTTATTTTAGAGGTCGCGATACAGCGGGACTGTTGTAATGACTGGTGTATTTGAGTGGACAGTTGATTCAGAAGATCAATGTTTAAAAGTCTGGTTTGGGCAGTCTCTGGATCTGTTGTGAGCTGTGTGCCCCTCTGCAGGACCTTGCTCCCACTCTCCTGGAATGTGGGTGGGAGGAAGGGGGTTCTGAGTTCCCCAGCGGGAATTACGGACAGCTAAAGCCCATCGTTACTGACAGTTCATGTGGCAGCCGTGTCAGACCCGGGTAGGCTTACCCTGCAGTAAAGCACACAATTGGGCTGTCTGTTGCTGGACTTGCTTGTGGTGTTGGCAGTTGTGGCCAGTATCACTTCTGTAAGCTGTAGTAGGAACAGGTGTGAACAGAGATAGTGGTGGAATTTTAGGCTGTTGAGTTTGGATCTGGGACGTGTCTGGAGCTCAGGAGAGAAGTCAGGGTGGCTGGTTTGGACATGCTGATGTGTAGGTGGGAATTAAAGCCAGGCGGTCCGGTGGATCACAGCAGGGTGCAGACAGCAGAGTAAGGGACCAAAAACAGAGGCCTGGGCCCTCTAACTTGAGGATGACTTGGAGAACAGGGGAGCCAGCAAAGGAGATAGAAGGAGCAGTGGGAGAGGTGAGAGGAGAACCGACATTGGTAATGTTCTGGAAGCAAAAAGGAGCAAAGTGTGTCCTGCGTTGGTGGGAGTGCTCCTCAGTGCTTTTTCCTCAGGGCGGCTGCATGTGCTGGTCTGTGTCCCCAGCAGCCAGGATTGTTCCTAGCTCATAGTGCAAGACGGTATTTTCTTTTTTTGTGTATGCTAAATGAACTCATCCTGGCATATTCTTGCTATGTTTATTTTCTTCCCTCAATAAGGAAGGTATACAGTGTTCATAGATAACTTGACCAGTGAGCTTGGTAAGCTCTTGTCCTCCTCCGCCTTCACCTCATCCAGTTCTGATCCGATGCCGTTACAGGGGCCAGTGTCATTCAGGGACGTGGCCGTGGACTTCACCCAGGAGGAGTGGCAGCAGCTGGAGCCCGAGCAGAAGACCACGTACCGGGATGTGATGCTGGAGAACTACAGCCATCTCATTTCCGTGGGTGAGGAGAACCCGCTTTCTCGATTGCTAAGATACATGGGATTTCCCTCAAATGTTACCGACTCTGACTTGGAGTTTGACGGGACAAACGTGAGTGGTCTGTTTTGGGCAGCAGGCAGGGCATTTTGGTCTTCACCTCCCCAGTAAAAGGTTCTAATTGTGGTGCTGGTTGTGAGGCAGTGCTGTCCTCGGACGACAGAGACCCAGCAGCCCAGCAGTCAGGCTCAAGTTCTCTTTCGTTTCTGTTAACAGGCTGTCACATTATCAAACCGGAAGTTATCATCAAGTTGGAGCAAGGAGAAGAGCCATGGATAGTAGAAGGAGAATTCCTACCACAGAGTTACCCAGGTGTGTTAGTGCAGGCAGTGCGGAGACTGGTAACTTGGAAGTGTTTTTCCTGGGAATTGTTAACGGTCCCAAACCTGTAGACGTGACTACAGACAGTCACCTGTGTGCTCCAGCTACCCAAGTCCCTCTCCCAGCGCCTTCTTCCTTCTCCCACGAGAACCTGTGTATGCAGAACGTTGCCATGCTTGCCTCTTCCCAGAGCCCCTGTCCAGTCACTTCCTTCTTCCCCCAGCCTTGCCGTCATGCTCGCTCCCAGGGCGTTTCCAGCCACCTTATTATCATGGGTCCTTTCATCCTTAGGCCTTCATAAGCCTGTTGTCGAAAAGTGACTGATGTGACTCTTCGGTTCTTGCCACCTTCCTTTCTTCTTCCTCTTTTCTGTAAAATGGCTCAGAGTGGTTTCTGACCCCGGTTTCACGTCCCCCTTCTCTGAGGTCAGATTCCAAACCCTCACCTGTGCCTGAGCCGGTGCGTTTGGTTCACCTGTGGCCTGTGTGCTGCTTGTCCTTCCCACAATCCGGTGCTTCTTACATCTGGTGACAGCGGTGTCTGGCTCTCCTGCCTGCCCCACACACTCATGTCCATCTTGTCTCTCACTCCCTGTTCTGTCCCACTGCTTGACCAGCGTCCTGTCCCGTCAGGCGCTCAGTGCGTGTGGTGCACGGGAGTGAGTTCTATTCCCTCCACCTTCCAGAAGATGTCCCCGACGGGTCTGCTTCCACCTGTGGTGTGTTCTGGTTCCTGAGTTCCTCCCAGGTCTCCTCCTGTCTCTGTCCTTAGGGCTGTTGTTTGCCTGTTTGTTTATGCTTTACCGTCCCTGTCCTCCTGTCCAGCCTCTCCTGTGGTAGCCGTCCTGCACCCCCTTGCACCTGCAAGATGGGTTCCTTGACGTTTCCAGTCGATTTTATCACTGGTCGCCCAGGAGGAGCCTTTGGTGAGCCCCTGCTGCTTCCCAAGGGGGTGCGAATTCCTCCTCTTCCCTTTGCTGCCTGGAAAATGAATGTTCTGTGCTTCCCCACAGCCCTTGGTACACTCCACGGGGTCCTCGCACCTAAGTGTCTTCTGTTAGTGTGGTTATTGTCCCTGTCGCTTCACTTCAGAGGGGCCTGCTCCATTTGTCCGATGACACGTTCTTCCAGTCCGGGCTCAGTTTTCCCACCCCTTCTTGAAGTTTTTCCTTGGCTTTTACCGTTATCTCAGTCTGCTCCTTCTCTCAGAGTAGACTCTACCTCATGGCCACACCTTGAAAAAAGTTAGGTGATCAATGGTCAAGTAATCTGTTATTTGGTAGGATATATATTTTGTTTGTGCTTTTTTCTTTCTTTTAAGATTTTATTTATTTATTTGAGAGAGAGGGTGCATGAGCAGTGGGGAGGGGCAGTGGGAGAGGGAGAAGCAGCCTCCCCGCTGAGCAGAGAGCCCAATGTGGGGCTCAATCCCAGGACCCTGAGATCGTGACCTGAGCCAAAGGCAGAGGCTTAACCCACTCAGCCACCCAGGCGCCCTTGAGCCTCTCTCTTCCCCATTTCAGTGTGTAACGTGTTCTCTCTTGCCTTGTTATATACCATGTAGTGTGCACTCGAGTATCTGAGGATCCAGGTAGGTGACAGAACTTTCTTGTCCATCTATTGAGAAATAATTTATAAGCAGTTCTGAATACACATGGCCTGGGTCACATCCCCATTTATATCGCAGGTGCCTGAAACATACCCACAGGATTCAGATTAAGAGCAAATCTGATTCCTGTTCAGGGGCTCAAAGGAAATAGGGAATAGAGTCATACTTTGTAAGAGACAGGATTTGGTTAAGAAAAGAGTATTGCATGGTGTAATTTAAAACTCCACGTTCACGTGGACCGTTGATGGTCCAGTGCATGGCTGAACCAGTGTGCTAAAGTCATTGTTTGGCGGTGGGGGGGAGGGGGCGGTAATTATTTTCAGCTTTCAGGGGAGATGGAGCTGATTGAAGTGGGAAAGGATTTAAGCAGTTTTTGGTTTTGGTTTTGTTTTGAGAACACAGAGACTCCCTGAGAGGTTTTGAGTAGGTCGGGGTTGGAGGTCAGGTGAACTATATGAAACAGTAAGAGCGGAGACTTGGATTTGAACGTGAGCTGGGCGTTGTTGGCACCCCAGCGATCTCAGAAGCAGCCCCTGGTGCCCGACATGGGAATCCATGTCTCCCAGCTTGCTGCAAAGCAGAGTGGCGCTGAGTGCTGGTCCCCTCCTCCACACCCAGCCCCCCTTGTGTGTATCAGATGACACACTTTGCCCAACAAATAGCTTGGTTTTCCTGGAGCAGAAGGTATTTGTAGGCCAGTATAATCCCAGTTTGGAATCATACCGTGAATCTAGGTGAAAAGTATTCTTTGTCAGATGTTTCCCCCATTTTATCTGTCCTGTCTTGGCAGTGGACTCAGGGAAGCTGTAGTTTGGGGATGCGGATGACAGCAATTGCAGTTGTCTGGTTCATCTAAAAACTTTTAAGATAAGTAAAAATAATGAGTGGCTTGGGAAATCTGATTTTTAAGGTTTGTAAATGAAAGTGAAACCAGATGAAACTCAGGAGCGGTGAAGTCTCTTCTCAGAATGCAGTGACCATGCTGTGTGAGAGGCAAGACTCCTTTAAGGAAATTGCCAGGAGACTGAAAATGGGAAAACTAGTTGCTGTGTTACATGTGTTTTGTGCCAGATGCTGGTCTGAGCACTTTATGAATGTAGGTACCATTGTCTCCGCATCACCTGTGGGTCATCCTGAGCTAAGGGCGATGTAAGGACTCCCCCAGGTCACCCAGCCAGAGCGCATGCTGTGTTGTCCAAACAGAGACAGAGAGTTCCGTGGTCCGACTGAGTTCAGGTTAAATCCTAACATCACAGAGGGTTTATGAAGTCTTACACTTCAGAAGGGCTGGCACGCTCTGGTCTGTTTTATCGTTCATGTTGGACATGAGCTCCTGGGGCTCTCCTTCCACATGACACAGAACCACAGGGAGTGAGAGCCCTGGCCTCACGGGTGCTCCTCTAAACAGAAGGAGGTTTGGGTGCACGCGGATTTGGCCCTGCTGTGCAGAATCTGGGCAAAATGGTTTGGAAGGATCTGGGCCGGTGAGAATGCTGCCACAAGAATCTCAGTGAAAGGTGATAGTGCCCGAGACCATCCATCTCTCCCGCTTGCTGTGCAGCGGCGCGGTGCAAAGTGCCGGTCCCCTCCCCCACGCCTGATGCCTCTGGGGTGCCTGTCCACCCCTCCTCGCCCGGCTCTGCTCCTTGGGGCCCTTCATTCACCCCGTCTGGTGTGAGTCTTTCCATGTCTGCCTATCAGCTGCCCATCTGTTCATCCACTGTCCCTTGTCTTCTCATCATCGCTCTGTGTTTTTATATCTTACCATCTATGCCCAGTTGGAACAAAATCTTATAAAGTAGCAAAGATCACAGGTACTTGTGTTTTTCCCCTTCCTCACCTCAGAGGTGTGTCAGTGTGTGTGTGTGTGTGTGTGTGTGTGTGCATGCTTGCGTGTGTTTATTTCAAACCATAACTGTATGGGAAAGAAGTACACTGGGAATTATTTTCATCCGTCCATGCAGCTAGCATCTACGCTAAAATGAAACACTTACATGTAAGCCATCTTCCGTATCTTACATGGGAAGAGATATAAAATTTTGTTTATTTTGCCTTTTTTTAGAAGAAGTCTGGAAAGCCGACGTTCTAGGAGAGAGAGTCCAGGAAAATGAAAGCAAATATTCAAGCCAAGCCGTATCCATCAACAAGAAAACCCTGATTGAAGAGAGAGGTAATGTTCTTGGTAAGACTTCTAATGTGGAAACGAATCCCATTCCTTCAAGAAAAATGTCCTATAAATGTGACTTGTGTGAAAAGAGTTTGAAATCTATTTCAGAATATATTAGTAGTGATGGCAGCTATGCAAGAATGAAGCCTGATGAATGTAGTGCATGTGGGAAACCACTTCCCCAGATTAAACTTGAGAAAACTCATCCGGGAGATGAGTCTTACAGATTTAATCAAAATGGGGACGCTTATAGTCTAAATGAAGAAAGTATTTATCATAACATTAATATTTTGGAGAAACCCTTTGAATATATTGAATGCCAGAAAGCCTTTCAGAAGGATACAGTTTTTGTTAATCATATGGAGGCGAAGCCCTATAAGTGGAATGAATCTGAAATAGCCTTTCTGCAAATGTCCAACCTCCGCGTACACGAGAGGTCTCACATGGAGCTGAAGCCCTATGAGTGCAGCGCGTGCGGGAAATCCTTCTGTAAGAAGTCAAAGTTCATCATCCATCAGAGGACTCACACAGGAGAGAAACCTTATGAATGTAATCAGTGTGGGAAATCCTTCTGCCAGAAGGGGACCCTCACTGTCCATCAGCGCACACACACCGGGGAGAAGCCCTACGAATGTAATGAATGTGGGAAAACCTTCTACCAGAAGTTACACCTCATTCAACATCAGAGAACTCACTCAGGAGAGAAGCCCTATGAATGTAGTTACTGTGGAAAATCTTTCTGCCAGAAGACACACCTCACACAACACCAGAGAACACATTCAGGAGAGAGACCCTACGTTTGTCATGACTGTGGAAAAACCTTCTCCCAAAAGTCTGCACTTAACGACCATCAGAAAATCCACACGGGTGTGAAACTCTACAAGTGTAATGAGTGTGGAAAGTGCTTCTGCCGCAAGTCTACACTCACCACGCATCAGAGGACCCACACTGGAGAGAAGCCCTACGAATGTAACGAGTGCGGGAAATTCTTTTCGCGGTTGTCCTATCTCACTGTACACTACAGGACTCATTCAGGAGAGAAGCCCTATGAATGTAACGAGTGTGGGAAAACCTTCTACCTGAACTCGGCCCTCATGAGACATCAGCGAGTGCACACCGGAGAGAAACCATACGAATGTACCGAGTGTGGAAAACTCTTCTCTCAGCTGTCGTACCTCACTATACACCACAGAACCCATTCAGGAGTGAAACCCTACGAATGTAACGAGTGCGGGAAGACCTTTTACCAAAACTCAGCCCTTTGCCGACATCGGAGGATACATAAAGGAGAGAAGCCCTACGAATGTTACATATGTGGAAAGTTCTTCTCTCAGATGTCATACCTCACCATACACCATCGAATTCATTCAGGAGAGAAGCCCTATGAATGTAATGAGTGTGGGAAAACCTTCTGCCAGAATTCAGCCCTTAATAGACATCAGAGGACACACACAGGAGAGAAAGCCTATGAGTGTTATGAGTGTGGGAAGTTCTTCTCTCAGATGTCCTATCTCACCATCCACCACAGGATCCATTCGGGAGAGAAGCCCTTTGAATGTAATGAATGTGGAAAAGCCTTCTCTCGGATGTCCTACCTCACTGTACACTACAGGACTCATTCCGGAGAGAAGCCCTACGAATGTAACGAGTGTGGGAAGAAATTCTACCACAAATCAGCCTTCAATAGCCATCAGAGGATTCACAGGAGAGGGAATGTGAATGTACTGGACGTGGGGAGGCTTCTCTGAAGTCGGAGAACCTTTCAGTGTGGTGAGTGGGAGATGCCTGCTGACGTACGTCAGAGCTCACATGGGTGTTGTGCACAAGGCTTTGTGTTAGTCACACTCGAGGCCTGAAAGTTCACAGGGTAGGAACCACAACTGTAACGACCACAGCACTTGTCGGATTCCAGACTCTCTCCGGGGGTCAACATCGTAAGCATTCAGAATGTGTATGCATTTCACCGTGGACTCAAACTGTTTCACACATCAGGGAATTCATACCAAGGGAAAAATCTCTCCGTTTTAAAGAAGGCGGGAAACCTACTCCTTTGGAAATTATCCATATTAAATGTTACATTTCTGATGTAGTATCCAGCTTCTTGAAAACAAAAATACAGACGATAAAGATACTTATGTAAATAGAAGCTGTGAAAGCAGCGACAGCGATCCGGACCACAGCGTAGCAACCTCACACTCAACGGGAGCGGCTCCTGGCCATGTTGGGCTTAGGTTTCTGAGGGGTTTTCAGTCTCTGTGCTTGCTTTTTAGGGTGCTGCATTACAGGAAGTGTATGTTCAGTTTGAATCATATTTGGAAAGCCACTGTATCCTTATTAGAATAATTCGGAAGACACAGTGAGATTATCCATTTTAAGCCCCACCGTGTTCGTATCCCAGTATCCTGAAACGGTCACCGTGCTGACATCTGATAGTCTCAAGTACACTGCTTCTCATACTCTTGCCTGGCATTTTTAAATGTTTTTGATCGCTGTTAATGAACAAAGTCTTCTGTAAAGAAGCCAGTGTTTTTTATAACATGTTCAGCTGTATCTGAGTCAGCAAGAGTTAGAAATTCACACATACAATAGAGAAGTGCATAGATAACTTTTAAGTTGTTAATGCCAGACATTTCCAGTAGTACAAAGCACCTGTAATATTCATTGTACTCTCTAGTTATATTTGCTTAAAATATTTAAGTACTTAAGATATTTCCATTTGTATCCATTTTCTCCATCTGTTTTATTTGGATGCTGACATAAGTGTGGGGAACATACATACTCTGTAACTTAGGAATTTTCTGTATTTTTATTTGATAGTATTTTTAAATATTGTGCTCTATTCCTTCTGAACGAACTCTTCCTAGGGGTTTGTGGCAGACAATGCTGAGTGACCCCAGTCACTCCTTACTGTTCGCTAGCAGAATTTGGGGCTCCATTTCTCCTCGTGGAATGGGGGGGGGACATCCTGACTAGTTTCAACTAATCATGCTAATCGCTTTCTCATCGCCAACCGTTGGTTTAGAATGGTCGCGGGACCCAGCTCTGTGCAGATAAACAAAGGAGGTATCGGACAGGTTATTTCTGGAAAAGGTTCCCTCAAAGATCCCAGGAGAGAACCGTGCAGGGTGAAGCATCTGTTGTGGAGCGTCGCCTTTGCTGCGTGTGATGCCTGGCTGTGCCCTTCAGCACAGAATTAGAGTCTGAGCATGGCAGAGCGGAAGGACGGGGAGATCCTGGGACCTGGATGATGGCAGAGCCCTGACCCACCCAGCCGCGCGGCTCCTCGGCCTCTGGACTGCTGTTTCTGTTGTAGACAGAATTTACTTTGGAGCCAGTTGGTTTAGGTTGCTGTGTCAGGGACAGCTGAAGACGCAGAGCTATACCCTTGTAGGAATTACGAAATTGAGAAGGACTTGAGGTCAATCGCCAGTTTAGAAGTACTGATAGAGATTGGTCTTATTTTCTGTAAATTTTGATGTAAATAGTTTGAGCACCACAAACCAACTTCAAACAATTAAATGTGTATGTTTCCTCAAAAGGTTACATCATTGACAGAAGAACCCTTAGAGCCCAATAATGATGTCAGATACGCCTTCCTTTTTACAATGCATGACATTAAATCTTGTTCAGGTTGATTTATGTTATTCACGGATCATCGCTCCGCTGCTGGTTCACAGTATGTGGTGTGCAGGTAAGGACCTTTGCTTTCCAGTGGCCAGCCTGATGGCCTGTATGTGAACGCCAGCCCTGCACATGGAGGTGAAATGCCGTATTTTTCACGTATTGGGCTCATTCGTGACACCGGTTTTGTTGCTCAGCACTCTCCCTCCATATTCTTGAGCAGACTGTGCGTTTGCTACATAACCGGGATGAAAAGGCTGGTAGATCGTTACGTTGGTGTAGGAAAATATATTCATGGTTTATTTGTTGAAATAATATCTACAAAGATTTCCCAGTTTGTCCTCATAGCTTAAATACACAGTATGCATTTTAAGTAAAATATTTAAAATGTGGACGTGGTGTAACACATTCTTCCTCAAGGAGCCGTGCACGCAAGGGCCTGGTGCGCAGAGCTGGTCCCGAGCTGCATCCCTGATGTAACGGGGTTTATTCATCACGGCAGCGCTGTCGGTGTTTTCCTGTCACGTCTCTGCGTGGGCTCAGTGGCTGCTGCTGCTTTGATGACCCTGTTTTTCTTTTTCCCTAGAGGCACTTAAAATAAGAGTTTGTCTTAAATTTGATGGAATACAGTGTTTAAAAAATTTCTAACTGTTCCTGGCAAGCATGTAAGATACCCTGGCCTGAGGCAGAGCACTAGAGGGACACCTGCGTCAGTCCCGCAGCGAGGACCAAACGTGGAATGGGGCAGAGCGGGAGCGCGTGTGCATCACACACAGTGACCTCGTGAACTCTGAGAAGCGTTTTCCAGGGCTGAGGGGAAGGAAGACCCTTCTTGGCCAGTGGACACGTGAGATTCCCACAGTTTTTTCTGTTGAGTCAGTGAAGCAGCTTCCGATAGGTCAAATCAAAGACTGCTGTCAGCACCAGGACCCCATCCTCTGAGAGACCCCAGAGCCACTCTTCTGTGGCCGTGTGCCTGGCCGTGCTGTGCCGCCAGCCCCCCTTCCACGACTACAGCCCCGAGAACGACCCACTTTATAGAATGCCTGCAAATAGGACAAGCAAAGTCCTTTTCCTTCTCCTCACAGAGATAACTACATCACAGATAAATCGCTTTTCCCTTCCCTGAACTTAAAGCCTAGGATTCTTGACAAACGGATGACCCGGCATGGGCTGCTGACTGAGCCCAACGGACAGAGCCCAACCCTGGGGCTGCCGTAGAGCAGTTCGTGGGGCCAGGGGGCTGCTGTGGGGGGTCCTGGGGGAGGTGTGAGCAGCCAGAGCCACTGGAGAGGCAGGCGCTGGGGAACCTGGGGCTTGGAATCTCCTCCTCTCCTGCCCTGCACGGTCGTGTCCCCAGCACCTTCTGGCCCAGCACGGTAGCTTCATGCAACAGCAGGCGCAGGCTCCATCCATCCGAGGGGGGTGGGGGGCACCCAACACACACCTGCCCGGAGCAGCCTCTTCTCACGCCGTGGCCAGATCCTTACAGTAAGTAGACACGGGTTTCTGGATGGAGGAGGACACTTCAGTGGTGAATTAACAGGCCGAGAGGAGAGAATCCATCAGGGAGGGGGTTCCTCCTAGTCGGGGGCGGGCTCTCTCTTCTACATGGGTCTGCCGAAGCCATCCTGAGGAGCAGGAACTAGGGATCAGACCTTCCCCTGCCACCCGTCCTGTCCTTGATTTGCAGAATCCACGTGAAAATTAATGCTGCGAAAAACAAACGCAGAAGGAGTCACTAAGAGCACACCAGACGTCTCCACAACTGGCAACCTTGACGGGATGTAGAAATCCAGATTTCAGAATTGTCTTACAAGATATCCTTACACAAAGGTTTATTGGTTATATGAAGCGGGAAGAGTTATTCCAAAAGAGGTGGGGCACAGGGCGGGAACCCAGCCATAAAACCAGTCAGTGGGCAGTGTGATGAGAGGAGTGGTTGGCCTGGGATGTCAGACCAAGAAGAAAGAGAAGATGCGTGTGAAAAATCAAACACTGAAACCAGAACACCACAGCCATCCTACCCTTATCCTGGGGTTAAGACAGGATGGGAAGAAAATTATGAATTAAAAACTTTTTCAGACTAAAAAAATGAAATTAAAAGGGGCTTTTGTGATTCCAAACAGAAAGGTACAGAAAAATCTGTCTATAAAGCAAAATTGTTTAACCTAAAGACCAGTAATTAGAATACATGAGGATATCCAGCAAAGTAGCAAGAAAGGGCAGTGCTTAGAATCCTGTCACCAGAAATAACGCACGTTTGTAAACCAGTGAAGTACCCCTTTACACTGACGACGGCGTGTACCATCAGTGGGGAAATGGGTAAACTGACCTGGAGATACCTTTTAAAATTCATGTGTGTGCCTTGTGGAGTGGTACTGCTGATGTGCTTTTGTGTCCCAGAGACATTCTGTACACACATGGATGTGTACACAGAGCAATGCTGTCAGCACGACGTGCGGGACCGTCTAGGTCCAGGAAGAGGCGAGTGAAACACAGATGAAGCAGTGGGGTGCTTGCTATCCAGCAGGGCGGCGCGGAGCCTGTATCTGCACGTAGCTCGTCTGATAAAGCATAAGGAAGAATTTCAAAAAATGGAATTTCATGAAACTAAATCCTTGTATCCGTTACCATGACCCCCCCCCCCACACACACACACCCACACCGGCTCCAGGGGAATGGGCTCGTGGTTGTACACGTGTGAATGGCTGTCGATGGGAAGTGCGTGGAATCGGGGTTTGGAATGAAGGAAAGAACCAGGTCAAGAACGGTTTCCAGGCAGAAACCGGTACTGAAAATGTCTTGAACTGAGTGGTATGACCCACACGGTTCCCCAGGACTCCAGAAAAATTACACAAAAATTAAAGGACAGAGAAATAAAAAACCTCAGTGTTTTATGCTGTTCAGTTTTAGCTGGAGTTTCGGAGCCGAGGTACCTAAATGATGTCTCTGTCCTTTTTGGCAACTTCACCCCAAGCCAACTTCCTGTAAATGGTTGTAGCTGCTCCATTAGTTGGTCATTCTGTACTTTGAAAATTTCTTTTAAAGAACGCTCCGACCCCAGCATGGGACTTGAGCTCACAACCCTGAGATCAAGAGGCACATGCTTTACTGACTGAGCCAGCCAGGCGCCCCAGTCACTACTTAAACCCGTCTGTCCTAGGACAGGGATTCCACCCCGACCCCGGGGAGGACTTGCATGGCCCCGCAGAACTCACCGAGTGGGCCAGCCTGTGCTGCTCCGGGCACCAGTGCCCCCTTCCGTCCAGTGCCAGCCGGCACCCCACAGCAGCTCTGACATCCCAGCTTCGGCTAGGATGAGTAGGGTGATGTCATCTTCTGAGTCACATTCTAAAAGAGGACTGTCTCCTTCGCTGCCTCTGTCTCCCTCCTTTGGCTGTGAAAGAACCATGGTGCCGAGCCAGCTTCTACCCTGAGAACAAGGACAACACTTGAGGGCTAGGCTTGGCCAATGGTCCCTGGGAGGGGCCAGCTGGGAGCACTTCGGGCTTTGTGGGCACAGCCTCTGCCACCGCTCAGCCCTGCCTCTAGCGTGAAAGCACCTGTCCCAATAAACCTGACATGGGACACAAATTTCAGTCTCATTGAATTTCATATGCTATAAAATATTCTCGATCTTTTTAAAAAAGCTACTTGCAAATGTAAGCCCATTTGTGGCTTACATGCCGTATGAAAGAGGCAGGTGCCAAATGTGGCCCACGACTGTCTCTTGTTGACTCCTTTCCAGGGGACAGAGAAGCAACTGGATAAAGGGGACCCTTTCCCTCTGGAGAACCACCTGGAAGGGGCTACCCTACCTCCCGGAGACCACCTGTTAGACTGGAATTGTACATGAGATAGCAATCTTCTATCCTGGCAGCCGGTCAGACGCTGATACACAATTAGCCAACAAAAAGTGAACTGCCATCATTTCTTCTAAACTGCAATGACTGTGTCCCTCTCAAACCTCATGCTCATGCTACAAGCCAACAGTACGTCGTGGGAAGAGAGAGGGCGGCCCACTGGAAGCTTCTGTAACGTAACCAGAGATCTAGCAGAATCCACAGCAATCCTAACAAAAAATACTAGCACAGTTTACAAAGTTTAAGTTCCTAAAAAAGTATGTAGTATTTTTATCTTTAGGAAAGTATGTGCTCAGATCTTGATTTCTAAATATTCTTCTCCATCAGATGGCACCAGGGCTGCTCAGGAGTGCTCACAGCACAGAACACTGGTCAGTGGGACGTGCTCAAGAACTGACAGGAGGTGTGGCAGAGGCGGGAAATGGAGGGTTCTGGGTTCCACCCCCCACCCCCGCCACTGGTAGAAACAACTAATGAGCGGGTGACCTCTGCAGGACTCGGGACTGTCGTCCAAAACAGGGGAGGCATGGTGAGGGAGGCACACTGTGCAGCCGCAGAGCTCCCGACCACCCCACACACCTCAGATCAGCTGCCACGTGGTGACGGCCTGTGGTGTAGGCAAGTCCCTGGGCCAGGGCCGAGTGACAGACCTCGTTCTCAGCTGCAGAGTGGGTGTCCCAGCTGGACCGCTGTCTGGAGGAGGGCTGTGCGGCTTCCCCTGGTCTCCTGGACTCCCGTCAGTCACAGGTCTGTGCAGCTTCCCAGACAGCTTGTGCCACAAGCACGCAAAGACCCAGGTCCCGGGTATAAGCCAGCAGGGGCCAGGAATGGCTGTCATGGTGAGCGGCAGACTGACACACCTGGGAAGGAGGAGGCTGAAAAGGAGAACTGTGTGAGCATAAGCTTCTAGAAGCTTCCATGTGTGCCAGGAGATCACCTGTGCCTAGGGTGGGACACAGGCTTAGAGACATCTGTACACGCTCACCTCAGATGGGCCTCCAGGCTCCACAGAAATGATGTGAAGGCTAGGGCAGGACAGGAACCAGCTTGGCTAAGCGCTGAAGGTCTGCAGAGATGAGTTATTTCTCTTTTTCTCCCCCCGACCTTTAAACCTTTTCTCAGCTCTTGATGTTTAAGGAGAATCTGGCAAAACACACCTAATCCCTGAGTTAATGGAACAAAGCATCCAGTGGCGGCACGTGACAAAGATGACACACCTACTGAAACAGAAAACACCATTTAGAAAGCACATTTAAGAACCCACCAGGGCGCCTGGGTGGCTCAGTGGGTCGAGCCTCTGCCTTCAGCTCAGGTCATGATCTCGGGGTGCTGGGATCGAGCCCCGCATCAGGCTTTCTGCTCAGCGGGGAGTCTGCTTCCTCCTCTCTCTCTCTGCCTGCCTCTCTGCCCGCTTGTGATCTGTCAAATAAATAAAATCTTAAACCCTCCCAAAACCCTGGGATTGGGGGTGGGGAGAATCTAATTTCCAGAGTTGCCACATTATATTTAAAATGTCCAGTTTTCTGGGCACCTGGGTGGCTCAGATGGTTGAGCCTCTGCCTTCGGCTCAGTTCACGATCCCAGGGTCCTGGGATCGAGTCCTACATCTAAGCAGGGAGCCTACTTCTCCCTCTCCCTCTGCTGCTCCCTCTGCTTGTGTGTGCACTCTGTCAATAAAAAATCTTTAAAAAAAATGTCCAGTTTTCAATGAATAATGATAAAACATGCAAAGAAACAAAGTATGGCCCACTCCCAGGAAAGAGAACGTCGTCTATCTCCGTGAGTCCCTCATCTCCAGTCACTGGGGATTGGTCCCGCCCAGCTGGATCAAGAGTGTGCCACACTTGGTGGGCAGTTGAGACTAAGCACACAATCAGAATCCCAAAGGCTTTGGAGAGGAACCACACCTGAGACTGTCCCTAAGAACTAATGCAGGAACAGCCAAGAAAGATTTGGAAAAGAATGAAGACAGATGTGCTTTGCAACATGTGCAAAAACATTACGAAGAACAATGAAGGAGCACCTGGGGGGCTCAGTGGGTCCTTGGAACGAGTCTCTCATTGGACTCACTGCTCAGCAGGAGCCTGCTTCTCCCTCTCCCTCTGTTGCTCCCCCTGCTTGTGAGCTCTCTCTCAAATACATAAAATCTTAAAAAATAAATAAAAAGACCAATGAAAACATGATCTTGTTCAGTACAATTACGGTCAGTAAAACGGAAAACAAACCCAGAATCAGAGTACTTACAAGCCGTGAGTCAGGACTGACTGCAAATAGGAGAAAACTTGGATAACCAACCTCCGCGATCCAAACCAGCCAACCACTGCTCCGTGACGTCCGCCAGAAGCCCTGGCTGGAACTCCCCCGACTCTCACTGGCCTCTAGATTAAGTGTCCCTCCCAGGAACAACTGAACTGTGACTGGCCTGCCAGGGAATGTGCCAGCCCTGGAGGGATCAGCTTCCCTTTCTGGAAGGATGTGGGGAAGAGGCTGAGCAGGTAAAAAGCGAAGCCACTGCAAATGATAATTTAATCCATAATAAAGACAGTATTTTAAGTCAGGGACAGAAAGATTAATTCAGTGGTGTAAAGACAACAACTTAGGAAGAAAATAAAAATCAAATGCATCAAACCACATCTTGTCAAGAAAAAAGTGGGAAAGATAAATGAAAGGAATAAATAATTAAGAATAAATAAGAATAAATAAATTTCACATAAAGAATATTTAATATGTAACTGGGTTGCAAAATGACATTTCCTGTGCTCTATTTCTTTCCAACAAGAAATGGCATTATTTCATCAAGGCATGGAACTGTACAGGAGAGAAAGCAGTCACTGAATCATTTTCTTGAAGGAAATCATTCTTGTTCCCAAGTTCCTGTGTCTACCACTTCTGGCTTATAGAATAAGATATATACTACATATATATACATGTATATATAGACACACACTTAAATATATATATATAAAATATATATTTTATATATATATATATTTGCAACATTAAGATGCCTTATAGCTCCCAGCAACAGAAAAATCCCAGCTCCAACAGGCATAAACTCTAAGGGAGATTGAAGACCTCAGTCTTCCTGGTACGGAGCAGCTTCGGAGCTGGTTAATTCACCACTCCCCGAGCTCCCTGCCCTTGGGACCGGCCTTCCCTCAGATCACCATCCTGACAACCACCCCGAGTCACAAGATGCCATCAACGGGCATCCATACGGACAATGCCATTCTGGTCCCGATTCTTTATCGATGATAAAACCTTCCCCCAGATCACCCGGAATACTTCACTGTCTGGTCATCCTGCCAACACCAAACAGCCTCTGGCAAGGAGGAGCACAGGCCCCATCGAGGCCCTCTTCCAAGGAAGATGCGACAGCAGCTGCCAGCCTGCTTCGAGGGGAGCAAGGACCAGGCACAGTCTCTGGAGCCTGCTCTTCCTCCCACGGGGACTCCAGCCGCCGAGCCTCGGCAGGCGCCCTGCAAATCCCCCCAGGAGTGGGAAGAGAAGGGGATTTTCTACACACGGCGCTGTCTGCAGTGGGACAAACACCACCGCCTGCAAACAGCCACACCCCTGCCCCTGCACACTCGATGAACGGGTGTTCATTAAATCAGCCAAGCCCAAGACACATTCTTTTTTTTAAGGCAATTGTTCGGCTTCTTTATTGATGTGCAGATCAGTAACAACGGGCATCACTGTATATGCCAAAAAACAGTGCTTTTCCAAAAACGGTTAGCATTGATCATAGCTCTGTAGAGAGTGAACACCCGTGTCCCGAGCACCACGCTCAGTGCTTGCTGAGATTTCTGCCCTATTTCCTGCTTCCTCTAATAATGCACATTCGTGTCCCAAACCATTTCCCAGCGGCAGAACCCACAGCTCCCCTCTGTTCTGCATGGTGTCCTAGAGACTCGCACTCACCACCGTTACCACACTGAAGAAAACTGCTCGAATTCCCTAACATTATCCAATGCCATTCCACGTTTCAGTTCCTCCAAAGGCCTCAGAAGTACCCACATGGATGTCTTTTCTAGCTAAGTGGGGTTTGGATCCAATCAAGGACCACACACTGCATCTGGTGAGGTCTCGTTAGTCTCTCTGGATTGAAAGAGCCCCCCGCCCCGACCTTTTCTTTCTAAAATGACATTGACTTTTGGAGACACCAGGCCAACTGTCTTGGTGGATGCCACATTCTGGATTTTGGTTTCCTCCACTGAAGCTGCGCTCTCATATCTGCTGTAAACCAATCACCTGATTAAACTCCTACGAAGTACTTGGGCAAGAGCACACCCCCGGGTGACGTGTGGACGCTGCACCCTAACAGGAGGCACACAGTGTGGTGTCACCACTGCTGATGGTGAAAGGGGGGCAGTTAATCATTCCACTGTAAAGGCATACCTTTTCCGGGGCCAGTGAAAAAGATGCCCGTGGGAGGTTCTCTGGCCCTGCACAGATCCCTGGTTCTTTACACCTACTGATGCTGGCGTCACAGACACTCTTTGCCTAGACGCCCCAGGGGTTGCAAATTAATGATCTTTCAAATTCTATCATTCCTTCTACATTTATTAGCTAACACTTGTCTAGAACATGCAGCCTTCCCACAACTGCTCTTACTAAAAGGGCAGGGTGAAAATGCTTTCCTTCTCATTAAAGAGAAAGGAGCTTGTGTAAGATTCACCTACAACGGTGGAAATAAGCTCATGCCCCTTTCTCTTTTTCCATATTGATGTGGACACAGATTTTTGTTGAATCAAATGTTGTGGAATCCATTACAGTTGTTCTGTTGGACCGTCAAACTACCTCAAATTTGGCCAGGGAGAAACACTGCAAGGTAGCATCTGGGACCACTTACGCATCCCCGTTAATCTTGAGTACTTCCTTGGTTTCTTGACCCAAGAGCTCCCAGCCTCACCCTGGACACTTAAGGGCCCGGACCTAGAACCAGCTGTTTCTCCAGGGAGTCCTGGCTCCTCAAGAGGGAAATGCTGGCACCGAGGCTGCACATCTGTGGGGTTGACCCCGCTTCCAGGCCCTCAGCGGACAGAGCTCAGACATACATACACTTTTTAAAAATAACGTCTGATCAGTTCATACTTCTTATGGGGAGTTTTACATAAATTCTTTCATTTTTATGGTCATCTCTTCTTGTAAGCTGGGAAGTGTGGTTCCTGGTAACATTAACAGTTTCTTTTTGCTTTATCTTACAACATACACAAGCTAGATCTAAAATAACACCAAATATTACTAACAAAAAATGAGTGGTATTTGTAATTTTTTGCAAATCTTTGCCCTTAAACATACCATTAAGGATATATAGTCATAACTCTGTATTCAGAAGTTTCCTGTAAGAATTATTTTCTCTGTGTTGTTACCAATTTGATATAAAGTTCATTTGTTTTCAATTTCAGAATGCCTTTATTTTCTATTTTTGAATATATAAATAATTTATATTGTTCAAAAGTCAAAATGTCCTACAAAGGCGTAACCAAAGAAACCTTGCTTCCATCCCTGACTCCACCATGTTCACTCCTGCCTCCATAGGAATTCATTTTTCTTAGCTTGTAGTTTATCCTTCTAGCCTTTCTCTTTGCAAAAACAAGCAATTGTGTCTGTATCTTACTTCCTCTCAGCTTACACGGAAGGGAGCATGCCATATGGTGGACTGTACTCTGTGTTCCTCACTGAATGTTATGTTGGCATATAGAATTTCAGAATTTGTCAAGCATGTCCCCTGTAATGCATTCTGTACTACAAACATACAAAAACACACAGGGGCCCTGTAGTGTGAGAAGTCTGTCATGGTAATTATTAAGCTATGGGGAGATACTTCCTACCGACACCTATTTCAACACCCGCTACATAAACCAAACGTGCAGGACGTGTGTATGCTGCATACAATATACCAAAACCTCGATTCCTCAGGTGCACCTCTGGCGTCTGGTGCTGTGAGCGGCTGCCACCAGAGGCCTCATGATCCCACAATGAGCACCGTTAGCGTCAGAGGTATCTTATGCCACATCTTCAAAATCTTGTACATCGGAATCTTGACTTCTAGTGTTAGCATATTTCCAAAGAAAATGTATCCACATTTCCCAAATTGATAGATTTCCCCTCAAGATTAATTCCTTTCTTATACAGAGTCTGATTTTTTTTCCCCTCAAAAGCTTTCATGCATGTAAAACACTGATAACAGTTCCACTCAAATATCAATTACCTGATGATCAGTAAGTTGTGACTCTGTAAATGCCTTTATACTTCTGTGGCATTCTTTGTGA